TGGAACCAATGGGCACCAATGAGTCTACAGCTTTAATACCAGTCTGCATAGGCTCTGTTACTGAGACCCTTGGAATAATACCAGGGGCTTTGACACCAACTCGGAAACGTTGTTTGGTATCAATTGGTCCCCTACCGTCAATTGCGTTACCTAAGGCGTCAACTACACGACCCAACAATTGATCACCTACTGGTACATCCACAATAGCACCAGTTCTCTTTACAATATCACCTTCTTTAATCAGTTTGTCATTACCAAATACTACTACACCAACATTGTCAGGTTCCAAGTTAAGAGCCATACCCTGGTCAAATAAAATTATTTAAAAGAATTTAATTATAAAAATTTAAAGGTAAACCTTAAGGCCAGAAGAAAATTCCACCATCTCCTCGGCTTGTACATTCTTAAGACCATACACACGGGCAATACCATCACCAATACTTAAGACACGACCAGTTTCATCAAGATTACCTTTGGTGGTTGCTCCAAGGATCCTTTCTTCCAAAATTGAACTAATTTCAGCTGAATTATTAATGGCAGATGCATGGAAATTTCGTGCTGCAACATTAGTTGCTGGAGCAATCAAAGCTACTACCTAAAAATATAAATTACAAATAAAGATAAATACCATTTACTTGCAAAACTAATCGATTACATATTATTTATTATTATCAATATTATATACATTAGAATATTACAGTACAGTTAAATGTTATATGAAGGTTACATAACAGGCTTAACATTAATACCAAATGTTATTGGAGAATAAATTTTATAAAATATTGAAAGCATCCTTACTAAAGAGACGTTTTTACATTAATAAGTAATAGACATTAAGGATAAATTTGATAGACAGGGTTGTTATGTCATCACCGTCGACCGACATTGATTATATTTTATTATATCAGGAACTTCACTAACCGGTTTAAAAAGATGATAAAAACTTACTTGAGAATTGTTTGGAAGTCGCCTTGCCGCACGGGCTGCAACACGAATAGATAACATGGACATATTTTATTTTTCTCGATTGCCCAGCAATGATTTTTTTGTGAAAGACGTGAGGCGACGAAACTGCCTTTGAGAGGTTTGGAAAAATTTCCCGTCATGCACTCGTTTCCTTATGAAAATCGCCACTGTGGCAGTAGCGTAGAAGCTTTTCTTTACGAGTCACCTTAAAAAAATATTTTATTTTTCGTATAAATGTATAAATCTTAAAATAATTATTCGCAGATACGATTAACTGTCAACATTAATTACTAACAATTGAATCAGTAACAAAACAAAATAAACTTCACTTTTTAAAAATATGAAAATGTATCATGGCGTTGTGAAACAGAACCGGGAAATTTAAAATATTTCTCATAAATTCTTTAGAAAATATTTCTTTGATTTCTTGTTTTTATCTGCTTACTGAAATAAACAATTAAAAGAAAATAAACCTCCAAAACGTCTTTTTCAACCTGACTAATGAGAAATAATGATAATCAACTATTTGTTTTTTATTGTCATTACATATTTAAACTTAGTCCATTTTATGTCCATTATTTTATTTATGCAAAATTTGGTTTACATTTTTATGGCCCAGTGCATACAGAAAAAAACTTTTTCACAATATGTTGAATAAAACCAATACAACTTCAAGTGGAAAATATTTTTGTATTTTTCTTATATTGTATTTAAAAATGAATAACGGTAATATAAAAGACTTAAGGTTTATCTTTCTGCTTTTCCTTCTTTTCCTTTTCAAGTGCTGCTTCTGTTTTCTCAAATTCTTTGATAAGTTCTTCTACTTCTTTATTGTTCAGTATATGAATTACTGTTTTGTTATTAATACGTGATAGTGTAGCCATTTCAACTGAAATAACAATTATAAATAAAATACACCTCAATAAGAATTTAGATGTTTTGTTACCTTTTTCTGCTGTTAGCTTCGTCATGTCTAGGGTTTTGCTTAGAACTTTTACTGCTAATGCTTTGGCATCCTTCAGGGTCATTTCTCCTTCATTGTATTCTTGTTTTAGACTGGATACAGCAGCCTAAATGAAATATACAAATTGTAAATGGTTAAAAATTAAGAAATAATTAAAATGATGGTTCTTACAGCACTGTTATTTCCTATACAAGTTGCTTTCCAGCCACTGTAATTTCCACTGGGATCAGACTGGTACAACTGATAGCCATAATGTTTATCCCATCCCATATACAAAATTGAAACACCAAAGGGTCTTTTACCCCCATATTGTGTATATGCTTGTTTAACATCACATAACCATGAAACCAGTTGCTCACAGGGTATGGATTCTCCATACTGCAGTAAGTATCTTTGCCCAATAAGACGTAACTCATTAGTTAAAACATTTGCATCAGAGGTTATTCCAGCTACACTACACACCATATCACTAGATATGAAAAACACAAATTGAATGTTTTGTCAGTTTTATATATCTTCAGTCCTTTACATACTCATTAAGCTTGTAGATTTTTTCAGATGAAAATACTTCATCCAATAATTTATTGGTGTTACGACGTTCTGCAGCTAATAAAATGCCATCGTTGGCCAAAATGCCAAGACAAGTACCTGCATGACTGATAGCTTCCATAGCATATTCGACTTGGTACAGTCTTCCTGCAAGTATTTCATGAAAGTTAAAAGAACTTTAACTGTTAAATAATTACCTTCAGGAGAAAAAATCGTTGTTCTGGTATCATAACGTCGAGCCTGGAAGAATAAAATAAAATAACTACACAGTTATTTCAAAACGATGACAGTGCACCAAAATTAAATATAACCTTTAAAAAATACAAAATAATTTCTTTTGGTTTA